GTTAGTGTAGGTTGAATATTAACAGCTGATACCATTAGATTTGTCGCGTCTATTCATTAGAAGAACAGATTTTCCAAATTTATAGTTGAGAATACTGAACTAAAAAGAGAGAAGGCTGAATTCTCGGCTAAGGAAGAAGGGTTTAGAGCTAGAATTGTAGAATTAGAACGGAATGCAAAAGAAAGTGCTGAGAATGAGAAGCAAAATCAGATAGAAAATTCTAAACGAAACTAGAACGTGATATCAAGGAGATTAAACAGAAACAAATTACACCATCTCGATAAAATGAATGCGCAGATCACTGAATCGATTCCTAAGGAATCTGATATAACTGATAACACTACAAATTCTGATGAACATCAAGAAGAGACTAATTCTCGAGTCTCCAATTAATCTTCGACTGCATTATCCATATGCGTAAAGTCTAAATCAGAAGGTAAGGAAATGGATGATTTTCCGATTTGTAAAGAAAAGAAGCTTCAACGTACTATTTCTTCTGAGAGCGAAGTTCATTGTTCCACAATAATAAATTCTACAACTGAAATTTCCCATCGTCAATGAATCAGAGAAAATGACTATATCGGAAGCAAAGAAAGTTCCCTATAACCAAAAAGTAGAGCAAGGTTTGAGGCTTGAATTATCTATTTGCGTCAAAAACGATATTTACAAAGCTAATGATATAATGTAATTGATATAAGATTCCTACGGAAGCAATTTTAAGAAAATATAGCTGATTTATTTAACATCGCTAGGAAGACTAGACAAAAGGAGATTTTATGCTGGTACAAAGCGTACGAGGATAGAATTAGAAATATTAGGACTATGATTAAAATCGATGACAATCTGCAATAACATTGGTATATAATGAATCAAATAATTTTACCTGATATTACTGATGCAAACTTGCGTAAAATAACTTTTAGAGCTAGAAGAGTTTATATATTGTTTGAAGGTATAAGGATATTCAAATTCAAAATATCATGAATGAATTTTCTAGCTACAAAGTAGCTACCTCCAGCAAGTCGACTACTAAGTGAAAATCGAAAAGTAATCTCCGTTCCAAATTGGAACGCGATCTCATGACCGTACTCATTTTCGTAATAAGACATTAGAGCAATATGAAATTAGTAGCGAAAATGTTGATTATTATGAGATTAATGTTAAATTATTATTCCCAATATGTAGTTTAGATCATGAGGGTGAGGAAGATGTAGAAGGAAAATATAAAATAGTTCTTACTAAAGATGAGTTCCTAAATTAAAGGTGAGGACATAATTCAAATGTCCCTCATTATTAAAAAAATTTTTTTTAAAATATAAGGTCAAAAAAAAACTACCTACAAAGGTTTTTTGCAATTTAGGTCATTTGATCCAAGTGTTTTTTGAATTATGTCTCTATTAATGAATAAATAATTATGTCTCTTCAAAAGGAACATAATTGATCTGTGAAATTTTATATACTAAATAGTTTAGGGACCCATTTTTAGTTCTTACTATGATAAATGCGAGAAACATAAGGCAGAAATAACCACATAAACTTTTATCATTATGCGATAGCACGAATATAGTATCAACTATGATGCCCAATGCAAAAAATTAAATTGTTTTATAATTATATAAAACAGTGAATATTTGGATTGGCAAGCTAAATTAATTGATGCTTTAATGGATAAATTCATTCATTCCAAGTTATATATAGTGTTGCAAAATTTTTTGGAATTTTTTATTTCTGTTATTCAAAAATTACTGTATAAATATTAATAAAAATATATTAAAATAATATTTAAAACAATAATATAAATTTTTTAAGTATTAAAAATCAAATTTCATTAAAATTATTAAAATTTTATAAATTTTAATACAATAAATTTAAAAATTTGTTAATTTAATCTATAGATTTTTTATTTTTTTAAAAATAATTTTGTATAATTTTTAATTTGTAAATTTTTAAAATTTTAAATTTTAAAAAAAATTTTTTTTATATTAAAAATAAAATATAAAATTTTATAATTTTGTAAATTTAAAAATTAGTTAATAATAATATTATTATTATATCTTTTTTATAAAAATTAAAAAAAAAAATTTCAGATTTTTCTAAATTTAATTATAAATACTCTTTCATATTTTCATAAATTCTAAATGTAATATCTTCTTCCAATAAATTAATATTTGCAAGATTATTTCTTATAATTAAATAAATGTAACAAGAATAATTTGAATTTGATAATTTATATATTAAACAAAAAGTTGATGCTTTTGATCAATTTACTATTATTGTGAAGTTTTGAATAAATCAATAGCTTTTATTTTTTATTAAAAAAATGAGACTATTATGTAATAAAATTAATGGTTTTAGAAAAATCTCCAAAGATTTATGAAAAGTTTCATTAAATTTTATTTATTGTTTTTCTGTTATACTTTTATATTTTATTAATTGTTTTTCTATTATATTTTTTTATTTTATTATTGAAAATATTCCAATAATTTTTTTGCATTAGATTTATTATACCTTTATATTGATATATTATCTAGTATAATATATATAGGATATAATAAACTTTTTTTTAAAGTATCATAATTGATTATATTGAAATATAAAATAATTGATAATAATTTAAAACCAAATGATAAAAAGCTTTCTTTTTTGGGGGTTTCCCCAGTAGATAAACATCATTTCTTTATTTTGATTTTTATATAACAAGATATACATCGTTGAAAGAAACAACATTTCTCTTATTATTTCAGAAGAGTTAAATGTTAGCTTACCTACTTATCAATATCTAACTAATATCATAAAAAAATTCAAAATCAATATTAATATGCTAAATAAAGCTGAGTAGTGGCTATGCCTACTGTCCCAAAAAATTTTACGAATTCTTTTAATTTTTTAAGTGTAAAAAATTGAAAAGAAAAATAAATGTAAATGTAACTAAAACTAAATTGAATATACTATAAAATATATAAGTAGAGAACCAATTATTTCCTCTCGAAAGTCTCTAGACAGGCTCATGGTCCCATTTCTCTGGCTCTACAGTTACCATAAATAATAAAGTATATGTGACGTTGTTTGTTGTTATAGTTGTTGGTAGTGTGTTAGTTGTTATTATTGTTGTGATCATTGTTGTGATACAAAACCGGTTTGAGCTTGTTTGAGTTTTGTTTTGATCTTTAAGCGAAATCTGATTGGATAATTGAGGAGTGTTGATCATCTGAAGGGGGTAAACTGATTTTAGTTTTTTGGATAAGAAATTTTTGGAAATTGAAAGTGGTATAACAACTATTGCTATAAAGATATTGTGTATAAGGATTGACTTGAAACAAACAGTAAATTTACTAATTCTGTTTGAGTATGAATTTTGAAAAATATTTGACTTAGTGAGTATAGTGATAATGATGTGTATGGTTTTTATGATAAAATAAGAGTAAGAAGGGGTGCAAGAGAACTGAAGAAAAGAGAACTGCTACAAGCCTTTTCTTATGCAACCAAAGGATAAGCAAGACTTCCAAACTTGAGTAGACTTCGACCAGAGGTCCCATCACACTGCACCAGTTGTCTTGAAGATTCTTGAGTTCTTAAGCTGGGGCTTACTTGTGATAAAGAGAGTAAAACATTTTTTCTTCCTTAAAATTACTATAAAAGGAAATTTTTTAACAAAATGGACACAATCAGGAGAGAGTTTTTTTTTATGATAAAAAGTTTTCTGTATTTCTCTATTATATGCTATTTTGTTTATCATAAACAGATTTTATAAAAGTTTTTTTTTAAAAAAATATTTAATAAATGTTTTAATAAGATTAAATTTCAATAAATTTTTATATATCTTTATTGAATTATATAAACTTTTGAAACTTAATACAAAATATTGAGAAATATTTAGAATTTCTAAAATATTTTTAATATAATTAATCAATAGTAAACAATATAAGAAATATTCTATATTATTATAATTTAAAATACTTGTTTTATAATATTTTAAATTTAATTGTTTCATATTATTTATACACAAGAGATGTTGTTTCTTTCACCATGTATATAACTCTTCAGTATAATACAATTAATAAAGAAATAATGTTTACCTACTAGAAAAATAAAAATAAAAAAAATTATTAAGTCAAAAAAATCCTTGCCCCCTCTTAAAAAGAATTATCCAAATATATAAATAATTGAGTTATAATATAATTATTTTTAAGAATTTTGAGAATTGAGTTAATAACAAATAATTTATACTACATGATTTTGAAAATTTTTATTATATTAAATTTACTGATATTATATTATTAATTTATAGATTGATAGCTAATATTATTTTAATATAAGTTTACAAATATCAATAGTTTTATATTATTTTATATTTGGTTTTTTTAATTATTATTATAAAATTATAAAAGTATTAAAATAATTAGAATGAAATATAATCTTATTATTTTATTGTTTCATTTTATATTATATACAGTGTGATGCAAAAAAAAACTGGAATTTTTTTTAATACATATTTTTATTAATAAATTAATATAAAATTATTTAAATGTAATTCAGACCTACCCGGTTATAGTCCAGTGGGCTAAGGCAGGATAGGGCTAACCTATGAACCACGGTTCAACCCCAGCTGGAGGCAATTCACATAT